CTCAATGTGCAAATTGATAGCAACAGTGCCTTGTCCAAAATGTTTCTCTTCTGGACTACAATTCGTTGTCCCTGACAACAACGTATGTGGGTTTGCTGTAAAATGTGTTGTCATCTGTGATACTTGTAAGGATGTAATCATTGAACAGTACATGTGTGAGAGAATCGGTTCTGTTACAACTTTGCGTACTCCATTTGAAATTAATATGAGGGCAGTTGTAGCCTTTAGAGGGCTAGTCTGCAATGCAAAGCTGGTGTGGGACAATGAACATGCCTCATTGCTTCAGTCACACTGCCTATCAGACTGTTCAGTCAAAATTGAATGTGGCTACCAAGTGGTACCTTCCTTGAAGTTAGCAAAATAGTGCAGCAGGCCATTGTTAAATCTTATGAGGAAGTTGGTGTCAAACCTGATTGTGAAGGCATACTAGAAATTGGTGTTTCTTATGATGGGAGCTGGCACAAAAGAGGACATTCTTCACAGACAGGAATTGGTGTTGTCATTGACCTTCTTACAGGATTACCCATTGATTATGAGGTACTATCAAACTTTTGCCTGCAGTGCCAACTTGCTCCATCTAGTGAGGATGAAAACTTTGATGATTGGCTACAAAAACATTCTGAAAATTGCTCAAAAAACTATGCAGGGTCTGCCAATTCTATGGAAATGAAGTGTGCCAGAAGGACGATCAGAACAAAAACACAAGCTCAGATACACAACGATTTTATCAGATGGTGATAGCAAAACCCATGACAATCTTGTGCAAAAGAAAATGTATGGTGATGCCATTCAAATTTATAAGGAAGAGTTTGTTAATCATGTGACAAAGAGAATGTGAACAGCATTAGATAATTTAGTCGCTCAAAGCAAGGCACATTCCTGGGAGATTTTCTAAATTTCTATTCCTGGAAGAGGAAAGTTAACGAAAGATAAAATTATAAAAATACAAAATTATTATGGGTGGGCGATAAAGGACAATGCAGCAGATGTGGCTCTTATGAAGAAAATAATTTTTGCTATCCTTTATCATTTGAGCTCCATCGATGAAATACCAAAACATGTACACTGCCCACCAGGAGAAAAATCATGGTGTTTTTGGCAAAGGGCACTGGCTAAAGGAGAATCTCCAAGCAAGCACAAGAACCATGAAACACTGCCTCCTAAGATTGGGACTAAAATGGTTCCTATTTTTTAGAGACTCACAGAAGAAAAACTTCTGAGTAGATGCTCTTGAAATAGAACCCAGAACAACAATGAATCTCTGCATAATTTGATTTTGTCATTTTGTTCAAAGAGAATTTTCGCAGGGAGAACAACATTGGAAAATGCAGTTTGCATTGCAATTTTGCAGTTATCAACGGGCTCAACATTTAAATAGGTCCTTTGTAAAGTGCTTGGTTTTGCCCCTGGTAGACATTTTCAAAAGGTTGCTTGAAGTCTCATAAGGCTTCATGTAAAGATATGTAAAAGAAGTGGAAGCAGCGAAAATATCAAAAGTCAAAGGCAAAACAGAAAAATATTGTCAAAGAAGGAGAAACATATAAAGCTTGCTCATTTGAGTAGAACATTGACTGTATTTAGTTATAAATGTGTGTTCAAAGAATAGTTGAAAACAATTTTTTAAGTCTTATGATAGAGATTTTACCAAACCATATGTTTAATCGTTGTTTTTCTAGCACTGCGATTTTTGCTAAACGGTATAATCAATAATAAGAATTAAACGTAGAAAAAACTACAAAATGTGGCAAACTGCATACCAATTTGATTCTTAGAAGCAGTAGAATGCAAGTATCTATGCTATAAACGTGGATATAGTGCCTGTAACTTTGACATAAACATGAAAAATGAAGACAACATCTGAAAACTTGCTCATTTTTCTTCAATGCCTAAAAAAATTTTATACACTACCAATATTCAGTTTCAAAGTAGATACTTGCATTCTACAGAGTATGACGTTTGAAATGATGTAGATATATGAGTAACTTTTGAACTTATTTTCTACCCCCAATTTTATTGCCATGCTGATTGGTATATTGTCTATTGTTTCAGCGTTTCCATGGTGACTGATTAAAATTTCCAGATTTTGAAACTGAATTAATAATCTACTCATCGATTTTCACTTTGTCACCAAAAATCACACAAATATGGTATATAATGAAGATTTTAGGTTTTCGCCTTGGGACCTATTAGATTGGCCAATTGATTTTGTCTGATGATTTGATTGCGTCTTCGTTCAATGAAGAGTTGTTTTCACCATATATATCCATCATCTCCTTAAAATTTGACAAGAAATGTCATAAAGGTCATTAAATGGTATGTAATCTTGAGCATTGGATTGAAAATTGAACAATTGTTTCAATTGAACATTGGACTTCCCAAAGGGTGAGTCTAAAAGGAAGGGACTACGTCATGATATTGATATATCATTAGAGAGTTTCCGATCGCCGACGCAGCTAGGACGGGGACGTTTCCGAGGCCTGGAAATAGCGCGGCCGTTCCGTCCTCCTGCACATGTAAAAAAATCAGATTCCGATTTTACGACGGGGACGTGCATTGGCGCCAAAATTAAACCAGCTAAAATGGACGACATGCTGTATTTATTGCACGATGAGGGCGATATCGACGACGAAGAGCTGCTTCTTCTATTAGATGACCACCCGAAAAATTTGCACGTTGGCCTTCCGTATTTTAAGTACGAACGTTTTAATGTTTTTGATATGCAAGAAGACGAATGTGAAGTGGAATTTCGCTTCAAAAAGGATGACATTTTTAGACTTGCAGCTGCTTTGCGCCTCCCGGAAATATTCAAGTGTCAGAATGGTGTGGTGGTAGACGAAATCGAAGCCTTGTGCATCGCCCTAAAGAGATTTGCTTACCCATGCAGACTTGCTGATCTCATCCCTCGTTTTGGTAGGCCTGTATCACAACTCTGTATGGTCGTAAATCTCGTGATTGACCATATCTTCGACAGATTTGGATACCTCCTTGCCAACCTTGATCAGCCATTATTGTCACGCCATAATCTGAAGGTATATGCAGATGCCATTCATCAGAAAGGTGCTGCATTAGACAACTGTTGGGGTTTCGTGGATGGAACAGTCAGGCCCATTTGCAGACCAAACCAGGATCAAAGGGCTGTCTATAACGGCCATAAAAGAGTGCACGCAATCAAGTTCCAATCGGTAGTGGTACCTAATGGACTTATTGCCAACCTCTTTGGTCCAGTTGAAGGAAGAAGGCATGACAGTGGCATCCTGGCAATGTCAGGTCTTTTAAATCAGTTGGAGCAACATTCCTTTACACCTGATGGCCAGCCTTTGTGCATCTATGGAGATCCTGCATATCCTCATAGAGTTTTTCTCCAATGCCCCTTCGCAAGAAGACCAAACCTCAATGTTCAAGAGCAAGCCTTCAATCAATCCATGAGCAGGGTTCGTATTTCTGTTGAATGGGTGTTTGGTGATATTGTGAATTATTTTAAATTCACAGACTTCAAGAAAGATCTGAAGATTGGCCTCAGTGCAGTTGGAAAGACTTATGTTGTTTGTGCCCTACTACGCAATGCACTTACTTGCCTGTATGGGAACAACACATCTGCTTTTTTCAATCTGCAGCCACCACTTCTTGAAGAATACTTCAGATAAAAACAGCTTTTTTAAAAGCTACCAAACAGCTTTTTTAAAAGCTACCAAACAGTTTTTTTAAAAGCTACCAAAGCTACCAAGTTTAGATTTATCTTATCACACATGATAGAAATCTCAGTGTATGGGATAATTAATATTGATAAACAAAAAATTAACCAATTGAGTTAACCATTGATAGAACTTAAGTAAATGTGACTTTTCCAAAACAAACAGTATGTCACTTCGAACACACTGAGTTGTAAAGAGCAACATTTCATTAATTCCAAATCACAATCTTGTCTTGTAGAACTATTTTATCAGGACATGAGCCTGAAAACTGACACAAAAATAGTAAAAATTTGAGAACAATCTAAGGCTGAGATATTTTACAAGGTGATTTTGAATATAAAGCTTGTTGAAATAGGCTTTTCAATGCATAACCTGTCAGAACATTGCTATTAAGAAAATTGATATTAAGATTATTTTTTAAGAAAATTGTTATCTAAATGAAAATAAAAGGCCATTAGTACTTCGGTAAAATGTTCCTGTCTAAAAATTTCTCTACTTGCAACCTAATTATTTAGGAACATATTAAGGACAGTCCAGCCTTGAAGTTTAAGAACAATTAACAAGAGAAATCCTTAACTGCAATTGACAATTTCTAATCTAAAAAAGTTAATGTTGAAAAATAAAGCATCACATTACATCAAGAACAACTATAAATCTATGGTTATATAGAAACATATCTTTCAAAGTTCTAAATTCAAATTGAAACAACAGCATGCAGGATATGCTTATATTTTTATAAGAAAATGACTAAACAAATGGGTGGAAGGAAAATATACATACTTTTGAGACTAGACAAAATTGTGTTTTAAAGTGAGTTGTTTGTCTATTAGATGTATAGTGCTAATTATATAGTAGTTCTAGAAGAGCCTCAAGAAAAGGCCTCAATAAATTTTATGAAATTTTGAACTCAGAACCAAAAAACTATACAGGAGCTAGAGGGCCTGTAGTAGCATTCCAAAAAAGGGGCAAGCTAAACTTGCATAATGGGGAAATATGTCTCATGAAGAAGTCTTTATAACCAGTGCATCAAAGCAGTGGGGGGGGGGAGAGAGGGGAAGCGGTAGGCATGGTCCTTCAAGCTCTGTATTAGGTCAGGTTTTATAACAAAAATTGCCAACATGTTTATCTTCTAAAATTTGTTCTTACTTTATAATATAGTCATTAAGTTCTTACTTGAAAAGAAGGAATGTTTGGATATGAATTTTATCTGGCATTTATGAGTTTTATAAACAGAGGATCTGTTGGTACTAATAATACCAGCATTTTCACTTGGAGGTTCCATTATTTTTACTATGAGTCTTAACCTGGTCATTCCTTCTTTTCCAGGCTACTTTGGTAAAGAGACAGTAGCAATTTGTTTTGCTGCTGTACCTCTTCCAAAATAGCCTGTTGCTGCTGCAGCTGTTGTCTTAAAATATTTATAACTTCATCATCTTTCTTGAGCCTTGCCTCCAATTCCCTCTCCCTCATAAGTTGTTCCCTCTCTTTTATTTCTTGCTCTTTCCTTCTCATCTTTATCTCTTCTTCCTGCATCTTTTCCTTTAACTCCAGATCTCGCTTCTTCAACTCAAATTCTTTCTCACTCTTTTTGACTTCCTGCGCTCTCTTTTCCTTTAAATACTCCACTGTATCCCCCCCATGCCTTTTCTTCTTCCTCTCTCTTTCTACATTCTCCCTCTCCCTTGTCTCCCCCATTCTCTCCATTGCCCTCTTCCTCACTGCCTCTGCTGTTTCTTTTTCTTTCTCAATGTCATTTTTCTTTTTTACCTCTCCCCTCAACAACTGTTCTTGCTGCTCCCTTGCAGTCTCTGTAATATCCTCAAGAGCCTGATCCAGCTCATCAGGCTCTTCTGGACTGATACCACTGGCTCTTTCCTCGCTGGCCTTTTTCCTTTTAAAATCTTTTTCAAGTTTGGTGAAGCGATCTCTCACTGACCTTTGGTCAACTATGAAGTGAGGATGCTCCACCAAATTCAAATTATTGGCAATTCGCTCCCAGCATTGCCCTCGGTCATGGGTGCCATGCCTAAATTGAAATGGCTGGACAACCAGCACTTCTCTACAAAGTAGCACATCATGCTGCTTGGTCCATGTCATTTTGTGCCTATTTGAAAAGGTTTAAGAAGGGTTGAAGGCAAAAAAAACCTTTTCACTCAAAAAATATGTATGAAACATAAATGATTACAGATGTTCTAGATATAATTATGTATATCCCAGTCTGCAGAGTGTGGCAGTTCTCAATAAAATCTCACATGCTCAAAGTCATTTCAGGTTGGTTTTCTGTGTGTAAAACTCATGGCAGTAAATGTTATGTGTAGTTCCTAATATCAGCATATAGCACTACATTGACCTGGTGCATAAATCTGCCATGCTCTTCAGACTGGTGTATATCTTACAGGATACCTTCAACATTTTTACAAGAACACAACTGTTTATTTAAAAACAGAAAATGTAGAAAGCTGCATTTTGACATGCATAATAAGAATTTGGCAAAAAGTCTTAGCAGTTTGATTGCAATTTGGACGAACACTCATTTTTATAAGAAACAAAGGTCAACATTTAGTAGCAAAGTGTCTTAGTGTTGCTGCATTTTTCAGCACTTGCTTTTGTCAACTTTCTTAATTTCATGTCATTAATTCATAATTGAAATATTTAAACTTATAACTGAAACCTGAAGGGGACTTGATTAACTTATAACTGAAGATAAGTTGGCTTTGAAGAACAGGTAGATGTTTGTAATAGCTTTTGTTACTTGTCCTACTCTCAACTTTCTTCAAGCTCTCTTTTCTGAAATGTCCCAAGCAAGTTTTCTATATCAAGTTTGTTGAATAATAGATAAGTGTATAGTGTTTTTGTGAAGGGAAAAAACTAGCTTTAATAATAGCTGGTAATAGATGGTAAAATCCCTTTAATAATAAATATCTGAAAATTTTAGCTTCAAATGCGTTATGAAGCTGGCACTCTTTTGATTTAATAACTCTTAGACAAAGTTTAACTATGTTTCTTAAAAAAAAATAGTTATAAGAAAGCCATAATTTATAAGAAATACAAGACAGTGTTCAGTCAGTAAATTACAACTACATTCAATGCGATATGACTACGAACACGGGTCGGCTTTCCATTTCTTTGGATAGTGGTTCTGTTGCCATTTTCCCTCTGAAATAGGTCGATTTGATAAGGCTGAAATGCAAAAGAAAGCTTGCTGAAATGAGCTGTTTTTACTTCGAAGAGATAGATTAATGTCTCGATGAATCAAAATTATATCGATTTTAAACTATTACATCGAAAACATTTAACTCTTACCTTAAAAATTCTGCGTTCTTCCTCCGACGGAAATTTTCGAATTTTGCGTCGTAGGCCGGACGAGAAGTAATCACGGGGGGTAGGCAATTTTTTCTGACCGCGCTATTTCCAGGCCTCGCAAACGTCCCCGTCGTAGCTGCGTCGGCGATCGGAAACTCTCTATTTCTTCATCGACAGTGAGTTCCGCAGGAGCATCATGAAATGAAAAGAAACAGCTGTAGGGATTACATGCTACAAGTTTTAACTTCAACTCTTCAAGACTCTTTGGATCAATTTGTTTGTCACTAGCTGAACAAGGATCATATCCCTTGAATTGGGGCATACTGTTTTTATCATTTTTTTACCAAATCTGATTTTTGCAATAAATGTTTTATCAATTGGGAAAGGAACCACCTTTGTTGATGAAAGGACATTCCGTGCTGACAATGTTTATGTACAAGAAACAGGCTCTGGGCATTCTTGGTAATCCCTTCCGTTAAAGCTCCCCAATGCAAATAGAAAATCTCCAACCTGGTTACATTTACCAAAACCTCCCAATCCAACACCAGCTGGGCAGGCTGCACAAGAAACGTCTCTAGTTGAGTTGTCAAGAACAACAAGCACTTTGTAAAGAATATTTTTCATTGATGCCTTCATCCGGATGTCAAAATAAGTGCAATCATTATCTTTAGCAACTGAAAACGTTTTAATGAATCCTTCGTAAAAGAATTGAAATGATTTGAGCTTCTTGTGAGCAGTGTTTTTTTAAAACATTGTGGTTCTACTTGAAAGTTTTGGCCTTTGTTCCTGTTACCTTTCCTCTGTATGATAACAAACTCCACTTTAATTCCTTAACTTTCAGGGAAGCCAGATCTTCCAAGGTGCTCACTGACTTTCCATCGGGAAAAAATTTAGAAAATTGATCCATCGCAAATATGTTTAAAACAAAAATTTTAGGCAACTTCAAAGCACTTCTTGTCTACTCAACTGAGAAGTGCGGCGAGAAACACTGATCTAAAAAAAAATCTGGATCAAGCAACACAACTTTGTCTTGGAAGCCAATGACAGCAGCCATCTTTGTGTGACCACCTTGTTGTGAGGACACAGTACTGAGCTTGTTGAAAACGGAGCAGGTAAGTCTGGAATACTAAGGATATTTCACCATAAAGGTTTTTTGTTTTATATTTATATAACATGCTATCTAGTTAACCCAAATAAATAGGCTACATGTTTCCTAACGTATTTTGGCCTCATGACTTTCAATTCAGACATTGATTTGTGTTTGTAAGATTTATGGCCCTGTTGATGAAACAGATGTTTATTTTTCGAAAAACCGTTTGATACTGTGTAAAAAAACTAGCGAAGCTGCTGTGGTAGCTTTTGAAAAAGCTGTTTTATATGAAATCTGTCACGCAAGAGGCATAAAAGCCAAAGAGCTCACTGATGCTTGAAAAGCACTAACTTGTTCAGTTTCTTTCGAATCTTTGTTCCAGCCATTTTTGCAGTGAATTCTTTTTCAAGATGGTATTACCGAATCTTGCAATAGGATTTGGAAATGGTCTTCACCAGAGTAAATGTGTGGTTGTCATTTACAGCAGTGTCAACAATATGCCTATCAAGCTCACAGAAGCTGCAATAGCACCTTGAATGCCTTTACAGACACCATAAATAAAATTGTTGCCACAAACTGAAGTATTCAATTTCTGTAAAATCTTCAAAGACTTGTAGATGTTATTGAAAGCTTTAGAAATTAATTTGGAACTTCTCAAATTTGGAAACTCCAAACATTTTTGACAAAGATATGTAACATATTTTGCAAATAACAGTAAGGAAAAATGAGCAGTTTCAGGCACCCATCAAGTATCTCTGAGTTCATCTTTGTGAAATCCTGCAAATCAACACCTTCTCTTTTGCAAGTATTTTAAAGATACTTTATCATCATAGCTCTAGTTGCTAAAACCTTATTAATCATCTTCACAACCCGTAAATAACTTGCTGTAACTGTTTGAATTTTGAATTTAGGCAAGCAAATGATTATGCAGCAGTCCTGCTATTTCTGTTCAAAAATATGCTATTCTTATCCTTTGAAATATATGGCAAGTTTAGTATATTTTAATATGAAGATATTTTCAGTACAAGATTTCTTTCCTGTCAGGTAAACTCAATGAGAGATTTTTGCATACTAAACATGGGGCTACACAGGGTCTATGTCAAGACCATCTTTCCAAAATATCCTGCTATGCAAGAAATGGCTGCCACCTTGTACTCAGAAAGAGAGACAATATTTGGCATGTCCCCATAGTCATGGTCAGATTGCAGTGGTGCTCTGTCTTGCAAATCATATTTCCATATGAGTGAAGCATTGCAAATACTAATATCTTCCTCATCAACATTGCAGGTGTCACCAAATGTTTGAAGGATTGCTGTGGGATCTCTTTGTTGACAGTTTCCTTTTCCACCCCCAATACTGCTTCTCATCAAGAGGCGTTTATATGCAGCAGTGAACTGTTGTGCTGTTGGATTGTTGTTAAATCCCCTGCAGATGGAATAGCACCAAAGAACAATTCTAGATGGTCTTGACTCAGTTTGTAGGTCAGCAGATATTGTAGAGGTGAATAGTTTGCCTCAGCAAAGTCATGGAATATGCCTTGATGCTACTGATTGCAAGAAGAAACCCAACAAACCCAGTTTTCCGTCTAGTTGTATGCATTGGCTGCTCAGCTCCTTCTAGTTGAAAATATATTCGAAATTCGAATAATGAGGAATACCAGAAACCTTTGTTATTGACCCTCAATGCTGAGTTGAAGCCTTTGGCCCATGGATTTCTGGAGTTGAGAATATCAAAAAGGCGATCAATGTTGCGAATAAACTGCACTGTTGCTTCTGATCCTTCAAACTGCTTCAGCTTGAGTACAGTGCGACAATATTCAATGGCACTAGCAACACTTGAGCTAAAAGACTGAGCTGCAAGGTTGACTTTCACTTTCTGTTGTCTCCATTGAATATAGGCCATCTTCATCTTGTTTCCCAGTCTCAAACCTTCTTACTCCTGGAGCCTTTGAAGGTTACCAAGAAACTTCCAGTAAATTTTATTGCTTTCACTGTCAATCAATATGCCTCCATCACCAAGAATATTCCTGACGAGCTTCAGCATATGGCAAACATCCAGCAGAATGTAGATTCTTCTATTGGGATCAAGTGGACGGATAAAGTATGGTTTGAGGTTCAGGGGCTGAAGATTTCCACCAAATAATAATGGAAACTTTTCATTTTGAATTCCAGTTAAAACTACAATTACAAATCTCACTATTACAAGGTAATTTGTAACTGGCTAGCCTGTTTTTACAAAATAAGACTATTACAATCGTAGTAAAGAGAAAAGAAAAAAAAAACGTTAAAAGGGGAGTAGCTCTGGGTTAGTCCATGTTTTGTTCCTACAGCAAAAAATGTAATAGGTGGTACGAATGGATATCGTAGAAAGCTTAGAAATGAGATATCGTTTGTGTTGATCATCGATGGAAAGAGAGTGACACATTTCAAGGAATGAGCTGCATGAGTCGCCGAAGATGCCAAGAGAGCTGATGGAGAGATTTACAAATATGACAGATTTGAACCTTGGTCTTAGATCTGAGACAAGGCGAGCATATTTTGAACGTTTCCTTTCTGCATTGAAGTTAAGGTTAGTTTCAAATCCTATCGTTAGTTCCAAAACATAAAGAATGTTTTCCTTTGTACGCAGAAGTAGATCTGGGCGCAGATTGTCTCCAGTTATGATGGATGGTGAGGAGAAGCCAGGTATATCGGCAAAAAGAGAGGATCCCTCTATTGCTTTCAAGGAGGTTGCAAGAAAATTTAGAGCAGAATTATGACGCCAGGTATAACGACCTTGTTCGAGATAAACTTTGCAGCCTGCAACGACATGAAGTAAAGTTTCGGGAAGAAGGCAGAATTCGCAATCAGATGATTGGCTTAGGTTCCAAAGGCTTAGATTTTTGCGCGTAGGGAGAGTATTGTTCAGGTACTTGATGGTGAAGTTGAAGATGTTCGTGGGTAGGTTGCTCTGCACAACAGACCAAAGACCATTGAGCTTTTAAGAGAGTGGTCCAACAGAAATGAAATAATAGCACCCTGGGATAGTAATTGGTGTGCCAAGCGCTCTCTACTGTCTGATTTTACTGCTTTGAGTACATCTTTGGTGTTACGGTAAATGTCGTATTGCAGATTCATCCCACTACTGGTGTTTTTCTATAAAGCTTGAATGTTTGTGTTAGGAGAAGTTCGGAGGGCATTGCGTGAAACAGTTTGGCATTGAGTGAATTTGACAGAAGGTAGCTGAAGATCGAGACCAAATTGATTTTTAGAAAGAACTATACTAGTTAAAGTAGCACTTATTATAATAATAATAATAATAATAATAATAATCGAATGTTTTAACAGGATAACCTATCAGTACAATATGTACTGTTACCATTAGGGTCCTGAGCTCAGTGAGCATTGAAAAATGACATGAAGGACCATCACATGTCAATGAAAGGACATTAACTCCAACATGATGAAGTTTTTCAATGCAAAGCTTCGCAAGGTTTGCTCTTTCTATTCCACTGAGACCATCAACAAAGAAATAGCCGGAATCTTCCAGGAACTATTCACATTGACTACCATCAGCACAAAGCATCTTTTGCCTCAGGAGTTGAATCATGGTCTTCAACACCATTCCCAAGATCAACGTATCCGCAAAACCTGGTACTATCCCAAGAAACATGCATTTTTATTGCCATCTCATCAAGCATAAGGGAACAGATTGTTGCTCTGCCTGCTTATTCAACTTCTTTTACTTGATCTGAGTGCTTGGAATGAGTAAATCCAGATTCCACTGGGACTTTTGTATACCAACGTCTCATTTGGGATTGGTGAGGAAGAGCAAGATTGAATGTTTCTGACAAACTCATATGCCTTGGCTGAATAGAATTGCAGGGTCAGTGCAAACGATCTACGTTCTGGAGGGTATTTGCATCCCTTGGCAGATTTTCCAGCTGTCATTCTTTTCATCAACTCCAGTGGAACACCAGGTATTGTCTGTCCAGGACCTCTTCGCAGTTGGAGGAAATCAGGTTCTTCTTCCTCAGTTGTTTCACAACAGTCTTCATGGAGTTCACCCTGACCTTTAATCGTCTACATTGTTGCTGAGACAGCTTCAATTT